TGCTTCTCCTGATTTTTTATCACACCGATTCACCAACCCATTTCCGCCGTACCAGAATTATTATTACCGAGAACCTTGGAGAAATCTCCGCCCACTGAATCCTTTAATGGAAATTCCAACCCCTATATGGTCACAATATCCAAATCCCTATTCTCCAGCCATACAGCCCCCAATGAGTTACCCAAATCAGTACCCTTCACCCCTGATGACGAATTACACAAGACCGCCCAGGCGTTGACAGGTGATTACGATTCATCCAAGTTTGTTTGTCCCTTCCTTAACAATGGTACCCATAAGATACCCGATACCGACCTAAATAAGATACCCGTCAGAATTACTCCACGCACAAGACAGCACAGTTATATAAAATCTCTTAGGCATTGCAGCACTTTGAGACCTATACAAGTGAATAAAACTGCCCCGAGTCAACCACGCTTAATTCCATGTTGCTCAGTGTTGAACGCCAGATCTATTGCTAAACCTGATGCTTTTCCTGCTTTGTGCGCAGACATTAAGTGCAATAACATAGATGTTTGTTGTATAACCGAAACATGGCTCAAACCGACTATACCTAGCTCCCTCGTTTGTCCTCCCAATTTTTCCATCATTAGAAAGGATAGAACAAACTGTGGAGGAGGAGGTGTCGCGATCTTATGCAGGAATGATTGGAGAATGCAGCTACTACCTGATTTGGATAATCCATTCGAATGTTTATGGACAAAAATTATTACACAAAACTCTGAATTCTTTGTTGCAACTATTTACCACCCACCTAACTATGAGTATAATGAGCAAGACCTTATCGAATTCCTTATTGACTCGTGCGAACAACTATTGTTATCTAAACCGAATTCAAATATAATAATTGCTGGTGACATTAACAATTTAAACATTCGATCTGTTCTTAATCAACTTCCATTTACCCAACTCGTTAAGACCCCTACGAGAGGGTTAAAAATATTAGATGTCTTTATTACAAATGTCCCAAACTATTGGAAATCTGTTAAAGTTGTAAAAAGCTTGGTGAGATCCGACCATGATATGGTTATCACATACCCCCGAAACATAGTTAAAGCAACAAGGACAAATTCCTATTTCAGAGATGTGAGACAACATCATCAATTGAATATGCTTCGTGAACTTGAATCTATTGATTGGAACACGATAATTATGAATAGCCATAACCTAGATGAGATAACCCTAAAATTTTATGAAATAATATGGCCAAAATTCGATAAGAGCTTCCCACTAATTAAGGTCAGAACGTCATCACGCGACCCACCGTTCATGTCTCCTCTTGTGAACCACCTTCTGAATCAAAGGAAAAGAGCCATACAAAACGGAAATACTGAAGCAAATACACGATTGCAAGAAAAAATCAACAAGTTAATTCGGGAAAATCAATTAAGTGCAGTCAAACAGGAGTTTGGTAACCAGAAAACTGGATCGAAAAGTTGGTGGTCTAACGTAAATAGCATTACATCGAGAAAAAAGAAACATGATGTATCTGTAAGTGCTTCTCTTAACCCTAGTGAAATTAACAAATATTTTCAAAGTGTGAATACAGATCCAAATTATACGACTCCTGAGCCTCTTCAAATCTCCAAAGGAACAAGAATTCCCTCGTTGTCAATTCATGAAGTTCAACATCTTTTACGCAATCAAAAACGCTCTTCATCGGGTCCGGACAATCTGCCATATTGGTTTTGGAAATCGTTTGCTATTGAATTAGCTCCTATTGTCACAGAAATTTTTAACATGTCACTAAAAACCAGCAAAGTACCTCAGAAATGGAAATCCGCTAATTTATTACCACTCCCTAAAGAATCACCATTAAATTCGTGCAACCAGTTAAGACCAATCTCTCTGACGGACATCATCATGAGACTATTCGAGAAGTGCGTGTATAAATCTGAAATCGAACCTATCACAAGAAATAACATTGGTCCTGACCAATTTGCTTATAAAAAGGGTCACAACTCGACTATGGCTCTGATTAAATCCCAACATCAATGGCTAGAGTGGCTGGATAAAAACGCTAATTATGTTAGAGTGCTGTCGTTCGATTTCAGCAAAGCATTTGACAGTGTGCCCCACGATCTTTTGTTTGAAAAAGTTAAAAAGCTACCCATTAATCCGTATGTGGTGAACTGGTTAATTAGTTTTCTAGAAAATAGAATACAAAGAGTAATGGTTGATGGAATGGTTACAGAATATTTATATATTAATCGTGGTGTTCCTCAAGGTACTGTTTTAGGCCCAGTTCTTTTCTCAATAATGGTTGATGATATTAAAACTGCTGATCCTAGTAATGCGTTAGTCAAATTTGCTGACGATTTGACGTTAGGAGTGCCTGGCAACGAAAGTGGTGACACATCTCGATCTGAAGCTGCCTGTTTACAGGATTGGGCGGAAGAGAATAGAATGCCCTTAAACTTGGAAAAAACGTACGAAATGGTTGTTCGCAGACACACCTCTGTAGTTTTGCCCGAGCTTATCCCTTCAATTAAGCGAAAAACATGGCTAAAACTTTTAGGAGTTACTCTACAAGATAACCCGTGCAACTGGGATTTGCACTTTGAAGAAATGCTCAAAAAAGCAAGTGGACGAATGTACATTATGAGAGTTTGCAAATACTATGGACTATCAATTAAACAATTAGATCTGCTGTTTGATAGCCTAATTATGTCGATATTCACTTTTGCTATTGAGCTGTGGGGTTGTGCATACGACGGTAAATATTTGAACCAAATAGATAAATTCATTAAACGTGCACATAAGAATGGTTATATATCAAAACGAACACACATTAAAGAAATACGTGATAAGAGAGATAAGAAACTGTGGAACAAAATAACATCAACTGAGGACAATGCATTGCTTGAACTGCTGCCGGAAAAAAGAAGTAGGTTACTTAGGCCTAGAGGGCATGAGTATGAACTCCCCCTAGTGAGAACAGAAAGATTCAAAAGGTCGTTCATAAATCGTTGTCTGTATAACTTTGTTTAGACTTTAATCTATTAAAAACTTTTTAAAACTTTTTACGCTTCTTAACTTACAATTGTAAATATAACTAGATCAATTACCTTTCGATTGTAAACTCAGACGGATGTATCTGAGTATTTTAATAAAGACTATTATTATTATTATTATTATTATTATTATTATTATTATTATTATTATTATTATTATTATTATATTACCTATTCGACCACGTCGAAACGCGAAACTGGCTCGGACCGCTTCGAACTGCTTTGGACAATCAATCCCTATTATATATTACTTAAAAGTATTAATCTATATAGTATATACTACGTAATGACTGCCATATTGTGCAGTCAAAAAAAATTTTTGCCAGACCCTGGGCGCCATTTTGCAAAACATCTGGATTGATCAGTCCAATTTAAATAAGGTTCACTCTTGCGGCATAATTAAATGTTCTGCCAGATTCAATAGACCACATTTTTGTAGATTGTACAACATCTACTTATTCTACCTATCAACAGTTAGATACATGACACAAACCATAGGGCTCATGACATATCTCACGACATGGTTTGCTTTCAAGACCCTGTGAGTATATGTACATAATGTAACTGCATCTATACTTAAATACTAAGGAATAAACTTACAATCTTCACACAGACTTAACCACATGTGAAATACTAAGGAATAAACTTACAATCCTCACATAGACTTAACCACATGTGATGGACAGATTACGGAATACACAGTGAACAACAAGGACTAAGTTTACAATATCTCACTGCATGGTCTACTTTTCAGACCCTGTGAAGATATATTTAAGAAAACCATTTACTTAAATGAGATGTAGAAAACCATTTACTTAAATGAGATATAGAAAAATTACACAACACAAAATCACAAGTCTTGTTAACAATTCCTAATTTACAACATCACAGTATGGTCAAATCTGACCCTGTGATAAATTCATGTGAATCATCAAATTACACCTATCAATTACCAAGTAATAACTTTACATACAGTAAATGCTATCTTCAATCACGATATTTCTACAATGGAATGAGATAAAAAGACACAAAACAACGCAAGCATAATACGCGTGCACCTTTTATACAATATTTCACGGCATGGTCTACTTTCAAGACCCCGTTGAAAATAAAAGAAATCCATTAGATAAATAATGATTATAAGTACACCACAGGTCCAAGACGCAGGTGGAGGTCCTATTACCTATCCCAAAATTAAAATATTCCAAACCCTTGATACATATACAAATCAGCCCAAAGAACATTACGCACGTAAGGAATTCAAGATAGAAAGTGTAATTTGGACAATTTTGCTAATCTCATCAGTAGCCTGAGTATCAGGCCTCTCATCAGTGGCGTAGCCAGAACGATAATTGGGGGGGGGCACATATTTATGTATTCGTGTTCACATACCATAAAAACAACTGATTACAAAAGAAATTAATAAAGCAGGACACGAATATATGAATATGGCCCCCTCTCCCCAATTATCGTTATCTGTAATTACTGAATCTCATGATCCAGACATGTTTCCGTATTGCGAAAACCAATGGAGAAGAAGAGTGGAGCCAATTATGCAAGAGACAATCGCAAATCTTTAGCAGCAATTGAATGAAATTAAATTCAATAAGATATGTTGACCACCAATATTTCCCAAACAAATAAGAATAATTATTAAACTATCTTAGCCTACCTAAACAGCTGCTAACAAAGAAGAATTATTAAAACACTTTGACCACCAAGACTACTTAGACTACCTAGACAGCTGTGATTACTATGTGTATGTATCCTGACCACCATGAACACCATGAAACACTACTATTAAAAGGTATTGTTAAAAACAATGAAGAATTATTAAAACACTTTGACCACCAAGACCACCAAGACTACCAAGACTACCTAGACAGCTGTGATTACTATGTGTATGTATCCTGACCACCATGAACACCTTAAAACACTGCTAATAAAAGGTACGTATTGTTAAAAACAATGAAGAATTATTAAAACACTTTGACCACCAAGACTACCAAGACTACCAAGACCACCAAGACTACCTAGACAGCTGTGATTACTATGTGTATGTATCCTGACCACTATGAACACTTTAAAACACTACTAATAAAAGGTCATGTCGGCATGTGGATGTGTGGGCATGCGGGCGTGCAGCGGGGTCATCAAAACATCGGGTCAACACCCACGAGGATTTGCGGCGGATTGTCAGATCTCCGGTTGGTCTAAAACCGATGAGGCGAGGAAACGCGACGGGTGGATCAACTATAATTTGCCTTACATGAAGTATTAACCAAAACTTCCGTAGAACCCGCATATACACACTACTGATAGGGCGGTTTGCTGGATGGAAAAAAGTGCTAACCGTACTCACTGTACTGGTGTATTGATCGCCGATGTTTCCATGCTAGTATTTTGAAATGTTTTTTCGATTTCGATTTTTGTTGTGATTATATTGGAATGTGTTTTCAACAGTTTTGTTTTCAAGTGTGAAATGTGTTGTGAATATTGAAATGTGTTTTGAACAATTATTGAATTGTGTTTCTAGTTTGCAAATGTGTTGTGAATATTGAAATGTGTTTTGAACAATTATCGAATTGTGTTTCCAGTTTGGAAAT